AGGAGGAGGATTTTAAGGGAGAGGAATGAGGGGTGGGAGAGGGTGAGGTGCTCAAAGGAGGGGAAAGAGCCAGTGGAGTAGGGGGATAGGGCAAGTGGTGTCCTTGAGATAAGGGCAACACCACCGCCACGGCGGTTGGGGCCGGGGATGTGGTGGGAGGTGTAGCCGGGTGGCGTGGCCTCCGTGAGGGGGAAGGTGTCGCCTGGGGTGAGCCAGGTTTCTGTTAAGGCCATGATATCAACGTTCTCATCAAGGATGAGATCGTTGATGACCAGGGCCTTGTTGCAGAGGGAGCGGACATTTTGCAGTCCGATGTGGAGGGAGCGGTTGACAGAAGGGTGTGTGGGAGGGGAGGGGGTCCAGGTTGTGAGGCAGGGGTGGGGGGATGGGGATGAGGGAGGAGAGGTTGACTCCCCGGGTCTGTGTCCGGGGTGGCTGGCGAGTGTGGTGGGGAATGGGGCAGTCGGTGTGGCTGCTGCTGGACAGCCAACGCCGAGTGCCACGGTGAGCCCGGCGGAGGATTCCCAGGCTGGAACAGAGGGAGGTTGTGGGAGGGTCAAGTGGGGATAGAAGACGAGAGGGACGGAGAGAGAGGAGAGAGCGGGAGAGATGCAGAGGGGGGAGGGTTTGGGGGGAGAGAGGAGGGGGGCGGGAGGGAGGGGGTGAGGGGGCTCGGGTCAAAGCGGCAGCCATAGTGCGCACGCGGGGACCGGGAGCGAGCGGTCAGGTGGATGGCATTATCCCGTAGATTGGGGCAGCGAACCCAACAGGACCATAGTGGGCTCTGATGTGAGCCCTGGGGAGGGGGGGGGCGCAGAGGTTTTTTTTTTTTTTTTGCGCGCGCACTCACCTGAAAACTAATCTATGACGTCAGCGGTTCCCCCGCTCCGCCCCCACCCCTCCCTCCCCTCGCTAGCTGAACTCGCTCCGGCGTCGAGTTTAAGTACCTGGGTCAGTAGGCCCAGGCTCCTCCCCGCGCTGTCCTGCCGCTGCTCCCCGATACAAAGTTACTTTGTGACAAAAAGTCATCGACCTGAAACATTAACTCACTTTCGTCTCTCCATAGATGTTGCCTGAACCTCATGAGTGTTCCCAGTGACTTCTTTTTTATTACAGTTATTGACTTGGACAAAGTGCACAACAAGATATTATGCTGATTTTAATAGAATATGGTGATTCAGACTAGACTAAGGCATAAGTTAATTAGGCACTCAGCTGTGTACTTGATAAGCAGGTTCTCAGCAAGAAAAATACTTGACCATACATCCAGCATCATCATACTATACTCATCATATTCTGCTATAACTTAGTCATAGCTGCAGATCATTAGTTAATACAATTGCACCAATTATGTCACAAATTGATTACCACTGAATGTAGCAGTCCATAGGAAAACTATACAAAACAGGATTGCCGATGTAATATAACTATAAATTTATATACTAAATTTGTTCACAGATGAAATAAGAACTAGAATTTTCTGTTTCGTCTAAGAAAGGTAACACAGAAATATCATTTGATACTTGACCAACACTGTTGTAATATGTTAAAAAATAGTTGACAAACACCAATCTTCTTAGAAAATAACCCTCATGCATTTAGACAATCTGAAACCAGAATTGGCATCCCAGTACTCTTCCTGTTACTTTGTTAATATGAAGCGACACTAGTGATTTGCTCTGTTTATATAAAATGCAAATACTACCCATTGTCGATGCAATAAAACTATATATTTATGCAGTAAATTTGTTTACAGATGTAATCAGAACTATCATTTTTTGTTGGTCTGAGAAAGGTAACGTGGAAATATCACAGCCTTGTCCCTTCCTACCTCTGTGACCTGCTATCCCCTTATCAACCTGTCGGCTCCATCCGCTCAGCAGGCTCTGGCCTGCTCCGCCCTCCCTCACTTGAACACCCCCTCCCCTGTTCGGGTCCAAATCCGTGTCTGTCCAGCGCTTTGGGACGTCCTCCCGACATGAAAGGCACTATACAAATGTAACTTTTTATTGTATTGCAATGGTTTTCCTGCCCCTTGACAATCTCTCTGCAATTATCTTACCAAAGTTTGGTTTCTGCAGCTGCTGTAAAAGCAGGACAAATTCTAATTCTACTAAATCAACAGTACATAATTGATAAGTTGTAAACAAGAGACAAGAGATTTAGTTTACACATTCCTGTCAACAACAAGCAGACTTTACTACACCGTGATCAAGTTACCATTATTTCACTGGTTAAACACTGTATATTAATTTCCTGAAACAAGATACAAACATGGGCCTGTTGCGTTACGTTTCAAAGAAGGCTGTTACCTCCATTTTGTTACCCTAAGTATAAGCAATTGATTAGCAGAAAACGGACCACGGGTTTTTGAAAGGGATCTGCACAAATATTTGACAAATATACAAAGGTCTTGGAAAAGTGCAGGGTTGTTGCAGAGAGCCAGCAGGTGTGATAAGCCTACTTTTGAGATATAATACTCAATGAATCTAAATGAGGGCAGCCAATTCCACATTACAACAATGCAGCTGCACACACCTTAATCTTAATAACTAATATGGTGACATTGGCAACAAGGTTATCACCATAACAGTAATTCTTGCATTTGATATAGCAACTTATTAAGTCATCTTAAGTAACTTCTCAAAGCGTTTAACAAGATTAACTGTAAAGTTCAATGTCTATGTAATTTTTAGGAAACACCAGACCCAATTTGCCCACAGCAATCTCACCCAAAAAGCCGTGAAGCAAATGACTAATTTAATCTGGGGAATTTAGGGGCAGGAACCCCCCTTTTCTTTTCGAACAGTGTTGCAGGATCATTTAACATCCGGTTTAATGTCTCATTCAAAGGATGGCACCACCAAAAAAAAACACTGCAAGACCAACACTACATTGGAGAGTCACTATGCAAGCTCAAAGTCCCAACATGGGGGCTTGAACCCACGGCTTTCTGACACACAGGTGTGGGGACTGCCAATGGAGCCAGGTTGACACCATTAAATGCTTATCTGTGGTTGGTTGACGGATTAGCTGGTGAACCATTTTTTGGTCAGCCACGCGTCTGACACATGCGGAAACCCATCACCATGCTTAAGAGTATTCAAATCAACAACAACAACTTGGATTTATATAGCGCCCTCCACACCGGATGGCGTCTCACAGCTCTTCACAGTAACGGATCCCGGGGCAGAGTCAGGGAGAGGGGGAGGAAGGTGACCAAAGGCGCGGCCGAAAAGAAAAGTCTTCAGCCGAGACCTGAAAATAGGAAGAGGGGGCGAGGTGAAGGGAGTGAGGAAGGGAGTTCCAGAGCCTCGGGTAGTGGCTTAAGGCACGGCCCTGATGGTGGAGCGGAGGATTTGGGGAACAAGGAGGAGGCCAGACCCGGTGGAGCGAAGGCAATGGGCGCTGTGGTAAGGAGAGAGGTCAGAGAGGTAGGGGCGTGCAGAGGAGTGGAGGGATTTGAAGACTAGGGTGAGGATCTTGAAGTCGATCCTCTCTGGGAGAGGCAGCCAGTGCAGTCTGGCAAGGACTGGAGTAATCGGGGAGCGGAGTTTAGTGCAGATAAGAATGCGGGCAGCAGAGTTTTGGATGACCTGGATTTTATGAACGGTAGTGGAGGGGAGACCGGCGAGGAGCGCATTTAAATAGTCCAGCTGAGAGGTCTAAGCATTCTAAGCAGACGTCTAAGCATTCCCACCTATAATGGAAATTTCCAAGAAATGTATTGGAATGCGCACTCAGGCCCTGGAGGGAACACATCCTGCTTACGGGACATCCTCCCGACGTGAGATGCGCTTTACAAATGTAATATTGTTGTTGTTAACTAATTCCAGAGAGCATTGGGTGCAGGTTGGTAAGAGCCAAGAATTGAGAACCTTAAAGGGCACATTGGGGTAACTGCTGAAGTCTATCTAACCAGCTAAAAACACAGTTTGCCATTGAGAGCAATGTCTGGCAAGCTTTCCCCACTGCTTGTCCAGCCCCTTTTGGGCTTTCGATTGCAAACCCTCGACTATCCAGCCAGCACCTTGGGTTGCCCGCCCAATGTAAAAGGCGGGATCTTATATCTATACAATCTGTTTTTGTTGTTCTTGTTAACAAAACATAGTCGATTCACTTTACAGTTTATTCTGTGAAGCACTTTGAGACGTCTTGAAGACATGATAAGGCGCTATATCAAATGCAAGGATTATTATTATTATCAGGAGCAGAGTTGGAAGAATCGCTGACCCTAGCAAACCAGTCAACTAGACCGCCCTGCAGGTCTCGGAATGTTAAGACCTGGTCAATGTCAGGGTGGAGAATGTTGCGCTGCTTACTGCATGTTGATTTTGCTGCTACTTGTGCAGCCCAGCAGCGAGCAGCTGGTATTATGCAGCCCCTGAAACAGATGATCAGGCTGCCTGCTTGGGGGGCGGGGAGAGGGACAGTAGATTGACAGCTCCAGCGCCCAATCACCAACCAGGGTGAGAGCAGACGGACTGCTCCCGCGGTCAATTGGCATCCGTGGGCCACGCGGAGTGACAAGGGGAGCAGCCAATTAGAAGGGGGCGGTGCAAGCCAGCGGGGTTTTGCATGCGACGGACCAATCGGGGTGGAGTAAGGTGGGTGTGTACGGCTGGCCGATCCCCTCTGGCTGGCGATTGGCCGCGGGAACTGTCAATCAGGTGACGCCCTCGCTTCCCCCAGCCCATCAGGTGCCTGAGCTGCTTGGTTTGGGGGCGGGGCGACGAGCGCGAGAGAGACAGAGGTGGGGGGGGGGCCTTGGGCCGAGCGGCGTCTAGTACTTTCCAGGAGTCGAGCGCGAGGGAGAGAGAGGAGGCGATGGCGGCGGAGGAAGAAGAGGAGGCCCCGAAAGGCGACCGTTACCAGGCGAGGATCGCGCGGGCTCGGTTCACTCGCTCAGTCAGTCAGTCGCTCGCGGGCAGCCGCACCAAACCTTCACAACCGTTGGGAAATGCTCACAAAAAAAGACATTCCCTCACAAAAATACTCACTCGCCCGCTCGGTTCCCCACCCACCGCCGCTCACCTTCCTGCGAGACATTCTTGCCGTCCGACAGTCTCCCTCCACTCACAAAACGCTCGCCCGCCGCCCGCCCGCCCGCCCGCTTCCCCCCTCCACCCCGCGCGCGGTTGACTGGCTGCCTGCACCTCGGCAGGGAGGGGGGGCGGCGGGGAAAGCAGGAGCAGAGCAGACGCAACACCGATCGGGGGAGCTGCTTCCTCGCGCCGCCGCTCTGAGGACCAGGACGCGCCCCCTTTTGCTTTTCCCTCCCCCTCTCCCCGACCACCTTGTGTGTGTTTTTTCCTTCCGCCGCCGCGGATACTCTTTCCGGTCGCTCTCGCGCAGCCCGGATAGTAACAGGTCCGAGAGAGCCACAGAGCGAGGTTTTTTGTTCCTGAGCTCCCAACGTTCCTAGATTGGAGTCGGGGGGAGAGGAGATGGGGAGGCGGTTGCGGCTGAATTAATTAATCAATAAATCCCACGACTGTTTGTGGGCCACCACTGCGCGCCATTGGCTGCTGTGTTTCGCCCACACAATGCACAGTATATTCTGTGAAGCACTTTGAGACGCCTCGAAGACGTGATAAGGCACCGTATCAAATGCAGGGATTATTATTGTTATTTTTATAGGCCGGTTCCAAGCCCAAGTTGGGTGGGTTTTTGTGGTTCTAATTGCGCGTGGAAAAACAAAAAGGCTTTGGGCGGGTGTCTTAATTTTTACAAGTGCCAAACGTTTCTTCCCCCCCCTCCTTTGAATCGTAATCAATAATAATAATAATCCTTGGATTTGATGTAACGCCTCATTGCGTTGTTTCGAGGCGGCTCAAAGTGCTTCACAGAATGTATTGTAAAGTGTACCGACTGTGTGTTTTGTAAAAGTGAAAGACCCTTTCGTACACAGTTTCAAAACTACTGTGCGTAATTGGCTACTACGTTTCACCAACAAAATATACAGCCAATTCACTACACTGTATTTTGTGAAGGCCTTTGAGATGTCTAGAAGTCGTGAAAAAGCGCTATATCAAACGCAGGGATTATTATTATATTGGCCTCCTTTTCGTGGGATCTGGGATACAAACTTATTTTAATTTCTGGCAAACCTTGTTTTCTACCCATCACCTTTCTGTTGTCTCCCTACCCCCACCTCTCAGTCTCTCTTTCCCTTCCCCTCCCCATAATAATAATTAACCCTTGCATTTGAAACGGCACTTATTCACATCGTTGAAACGTCTGAAAGCACCTCATAGGATATACCAAAACGTGAATTTACAGTGTATTTTGTGGGCAAATGCAGCAGCCAGTTACACACAGCAACGTCTGACAAACAGCCAGAGAGTGAATGCCCAATTTGATTTGGGCGATTGTTGGCCAGGACACCGGGAGGAACTCCATTCTCTTTTCGAATAGTGCCATGGGATCTTTAACGTCCTCCCGAACAGGCAGATGGGACCTCGGTTTTACGTTTCATCTGAAGGACGGTACCTTAGACTATGTGATTCCAAATGACAATGTGGGGCTTGTACAACAACTCCAGAGGAAAAGAATTTTAAAAAATCCTCCAAATAAAATTGGTCATGCACTTTGTGACTGTTTGTGGAACATTGCTGCAAAAATGGGTTGCTGAGTTTGCCACAAAATACACAATCACTTTACAGTGAATCTTGTGAGACATCTTTCTGACAAAGAAAGGCATCATAATTAAATGCAAACATTTTTATTAATGCCAGCCAACTCAGCCCATAATGCACGTAGCATTTTTGTTTTCTGTCACGTCGATTTTTCAATGCCAGCGTAAATATCAATAAATATATATTTTGTTTAAAAATCATTTAAAAAAATTAACTCAGCCGAGATACAAGCATTTCAGAGATCGGATAGTATAATTTCTGTGTTTATTTCAAATCGCATTTGGATGCCGTGAAATACATGTTGTTGAAACTTGCTTTATTATATTAAAAAACACCTGACAATCCAGTGCTTCTTTATCTCTATTTGATGTACAATATACTGAGTTATACATTGAACAGATGCACAATGAAGTATAAAAGGCGGTGATGGGGGTGGCGATTAGTCAAGATTTCAAAATAAACAATGAGTCCACTGCACATCTGGTTGTAAGATACCAAGGAGAACTGATAAGGCTCGTGGCCTTATCTCAGCCTACACAAAGTAACAGAATGTATTTGTGTGAGTCGAGTAAACATGAGGCTTGATCTTTCACGTATGTGCTTTGTTTATTTGGTGCAAGAGGCAGTCCTGCCACACCCAAAGTTCTTGAGTTTCTATAATTGAGCATGACACGTTGAAATTCTAGATCACAGATAAGGTTGCTGAATTGGGGAAGGTGATCGCTCAATGCCTGACTTCCCTACGAAATTTGAGGAAAGAAAAGATTCCGTATAATTTGACAAGGTCAAAAGTATGGTCCACTTGTTGAATTCAACTTGAGGAAGAAAAGATGCCGAACTTAGGTAAGTGTTGCCCTATGGCTGCTCGTGTTCATGTCAGCAATGGTATTGATTTGTGAAGGGAGTTTCTCTCAGTGCCCTGGCCAACAATCCCCGACCTGAAATTGGCTGCTTATGAGAGACACCTGCTGCGTGCAACAACAACAAATCACATTTGTACAGCGCCTTTCATGTCAGGAGGACGTCCCAAGGCTCTGGACAGTCAGGGATCCACATCCGAGCTGGTGGTTGGGTTCAGGACGGGTGGAGGTTGGGGGAGTTGTAGCAGTAGGCCGAAGACACGGTCGAAGAGGAGAGTCTTAAGACGGGTCTTGAAGGAGGCAAGGGAGGGGGTGAAGTGGAGGGATTGTGGGATGGAATTCCAGAGGGTGGAGGCAGAGATGCTTATGGTCCTACCGCCAATAATGAGGCAGGCAAGATGGGGGACGTGAAGCAGGCTGAGCAGAGTGAGCAACAGGTTGTTAGGGAGTTAGGAGTCAAAGAGGTAGGGAGGAGCAAGGCCTTAGAAGGCTTTGAAGGTGCAAACTGGCTTCCGCATTCATCTACAAATGTGCATTTACTACACTAAAATTGTTTTAATAATAATCCTTGCATTTGATAAAGCGCTTTATCATGCCTTCGAGATGTCTCAAAGCGCTTCATGGAATATACTGTAAAGTGAATTGACTATATATTTTATAGGCAAAATGATTTGTGCTTTGAAGCGATTCAAGGCACCTTGTCGATGTGGTAAAATGCTACATCAAATGCAAGGATTTTTCTTAATCTTTCTGATAGGCTTGTAATTTTTTAGTTTTACAATTTTAAGGAAAACATTCGCTGAGGATAATTAATTTTTCTCTAATTCATTTTGTATGAATAATCAGTCGTTTAATGGGGTTGGCAGGTTTGAAAGGAAAGTGATCACCGGGGACCAATGGCAGCTGAAGCAAAACCGATTTACAAATAACAAGGGAATTACAGTAATTTGGGGGAGGGCAACGCACAATCCCTACATAGTGCAAACCCACAGAGATTTATTCTTCAATGGTGCCGCCTGAGGCTATTCATCCTACATGGCTTAAATTAGTGATGACTTAAATGGTGAAATAAATGGTGCCCGCACGGACATCCATATACACACGTACAGTGACAACCAGTTAACAACTAGTATTAGAGGTTTTTTTCAGTGAAACGTGCAAAGTTAACCATAATCCCTGGGAATCTGTCTCCAGAATTTATAATATAATAATAATACTTAAATTTGATATAATAATTCTTGTATTTGATATAGCACCTTATCACGTCATTGGGAGGTCTCAAAGCGCTTCACAGGGTACACTGTAAAGTGAAGTTACTGAGTGTTTTGTGGGCAGCCAATTGCGCACAGACCTACCACTTTATCATGGTCCCCGGAACGTTTCTAAGTACTGTGTTTATACAAGTTTCATAGTGAAATGTAGCAACTGTGCATTTTACACTCCCAGCTGCACTCTTTCCTCTCCAACCATTCACTATTCGAACCCCTTCAATCGGGTTTCCGTGCTGCCCATAGCACAGAAACTGCCCTGGTCAAGGTCACCAATGACATCCTGACCATCTGTGACCAGGGCTCCCTCTACCTCCTCGTCCTCCTCGACCTATCGGCAGCATTCGATACGGTCGACCACGCTATCCTCCTCCACCGCTTGTCCTCCCACCTAAACCTTCAAGGCCCTGTCCTTGAGTGGTTTAGGTCGTACCTCTCCCACCGTCTTCACTTCGTCTCCTAAAATGTTTTTTCCTCCAGCCCCTGCACTGTCTCGTGTGGTGTCCCTCAAGGCTCTGTCCTCGGTCCCCTCCTCTTCACCCTCTATATGCTCCCCCTGTGGTGACATCATCCGCAGACATGGGGTTAACTTCCACATGTATGTGGATGACACCCAACTCTACCTTCCCTCCTCTACCCTCAACTCCACGACCCCCGATGTCCTGACAGCTGCCTGTCCGACATCGAGTCCTGGACGAGAGACAACTTTCTTCAGCTCAACGTACGCAAAACTGAGGCCCTCCTGATTGGCTCACGTCAGCGCCTCCGCACCTCAGGCGCTGACACCATCAGCATCCAAGGCTGCACTCTCCACCTCTCAAAGCCAGTCAGGAACCTCGGGGTTCTGTTCGACCCTGAGCTGTCCTTTCTCCCCCATATCTGCGCCACAACTGACACCGCCTTCCATCACCTCCGGAATGTCGCCAGACTACGGCATTACCTCACCCCTCACGCTGCTGAAACCCTGGTTCACGCCTTTATCACCTCAAGGCTGGACTATGGGAACTCTCTCCTCGCCGGCCTTCCCGGCCCTCCCTCCATACTGCAGGTCATTCAGAACTCTGCAGCTCGTGTACTGTCCCGCACCAGGCTTCGGGACCACATCACTCCCACCCTCGCTCGCCTCCACTGGCTCCACATCCCCCAGAGGATCGAATTCAAGATCCTCACCCTCACCTACAAGGCCATTCACGGCCTTGCTCCCTCCTACCTCTCCGACCTACTATCCCCCTACCTACCCGCCCGTACCCTCCGTTCCTCTGGCTCCGGTCTGCTCCACATCCTTCGCCCCAACCGCCCTACCATCGGTGGCTGGGCCTTCAGCCTCTCAGCCCCGAGGCTCTGGAACTCTATCCCCCAGTGCCTTCGCCGCTTCCTCCCTTTCCTTCTTCAAGGCCGGTCTCAAGACCTTTCTCTTTGACCGTGCCTTCAGCTCCCCTCTCGACTCTCTACCCCCTCCTCGCTCCCTCCCTTCCCTCCCCTCACCCTGACCATTTCCCCCCTGCTCGGGTCCTGACCCAACTGTACAGTGCCTTGGGACATCCTCCCGACGTGAAAGGCGCTCAATAAATGGAATCTTGTTGTTGTTGTTGAACACTGCAGCTAATTGGTGCACTACTGCACCAGGAGAAACTCCTTTTATGAAAAATGCAACGGGATCTTTAACAACCTCATTGAGGTGAAGCCAGGAAACATGGGTATATTGGAAGTGACATAGAAGTCATGCCCTCCGCTCTCTTTCTCTCTGTGCTATGTGTGACAGTCTGTTTCTACTTTTCTCAGGACATTGCAAGATGGCAGTGCCAAGGTCTGTGAGTTCCTTCGCCAATTTTGTCTGTGGGATAGTGATTGGAATTTGTGGCTGTTCCTATTTTCTTAGTGTAGTCAGGCTACATGAACCCGCTCGATTTTCTGTGCACAGAAACCACAGTCTTCACAACTTCCAGTACTACAGTTCGCTTGCCAAAGAACTCGTGAATTACAGCTTGAGTGAGTAACCGTTTTATTACCTTTTTAAAGGCTGAATTCAAAATCCTCATCCTCGCCTTCAAGGCCTCCACAGCCTTGCTGCTTCCTACCTCTGTGACTTGCTAACTCCTATCAACCTGTCCGCTCCCTCCGCTCAGCAGGCTCTGGCCTGCATCACATTCCCTGCCCGGCACGTCCCACCATCAGCGCTCGGGTTTTCAGCTTCTCTGTCCCCACCCTTTAGAACTCCATCCCACAATCCCTTCTCCTCGCTTCCTCCCTTGCCTCCTCATGGAGGCCTGTAGCTCAGTGGTTAGAGCACTCGCTTTGCAAGTGAGAGACCTGAGTTCAATTCCAGGCAGAGGGCGAAACCTTGGGCAAGTTTCCTTACTCCACACAGAGCCTAATAATAGTCCCTCCAAATCCAAAAACAATAATAAATTGGTCATTTTCAATCTACGACTGTTTGTGGGACATTGCTGTGCGCAATTGGCTGCCGCGTTCGCCCACAAATATACAGTCAATTCACTTTACAGTGTGTTCTGTGAAGCGCTTTGGGACGTCCTCCCGACGTGAAAAGCGCTATATCAAGTGCAAGGATTATTATTATTAAAAACATGTCTCAAGACCCTCCTCTTCAACCACGCATTTGGTCACCCTCCTACCCCTACCCTCCCTGCCCTCTACCACCCCTGATCCTAACCCTGCTCGGGTCCAAATCCCTGACTGTCCAGCACCTTGGAACGTCCTCCTGACGTGAAATGCGCTACACTGTACAAATGTAATTTGTTGTTGTTGAATTTGCCGAGTTTTCACAGGATTAAAAATTTGACGAGTTTTCATTGCAAGCTTCAAACTTTAGCACCTGTAGTTAGTAGAATTGCTCCAATTGCTAGTTGATCCATTTGCCATATTAACTACCAATAAAATACATAGTCATTACCTTGTAGTTAAATCCTGTGAAAGGCTTAAGAGACATCCTCCTGATGTGAAAGGCGCTATAATTAAATGCACGGATTATTTTATTACTAGGCTTTATTATTACCTGGAGTATATTTATTATTTATATTTATTATTTATTATTGCCCCCTGTCTACCCTGGGCTTCCTTTCTCGTATCCTGACAATCTGCCCTGATGAATAGAAGCTCTATGAAAACTCAGGGTGTGATTCCTGTGCGAGCCACTAGGAGGTGCTGTAATTATTTGAGCAGGATTCCTCACTCTTTACAATACAATTAAATACAAAATTACATTTGTATAGTGCCTTTTACATCAGGAGGACCTCCCAAGGCACTGACGTCTTTGCCTTTGACGTGGAACCCAAAGATCCAGCTGCCCCCTTCCTCTGGATCCCACAGTCCCTCCACCTAGCTAACCTCCCTTACCTCCTTCAAGACACGTCTCCAGACCCTCCTCTTCGACTGTACCTTCAGTCAACCTCCTACCCCTACCCTCCCTGCACTCTACCCCTCCTGATCCCACCACCAGCTCGGGTGCGGATCCCTGACTGTCCAGCTCCTTGGGACGCCCTCCTGACATGAAAGGCAGTACACAAATGTAAGTTGTTGTTGAGGTCACCGAAGAAAAGACTGACTGTCAGATTGACTGATGTCTCTTGGAACACATGGAACACATTAAAGGGCTGCCCACTCACCTTGGACCCAATCTGAATCAGGACTAGATCCAAGTCTCATCCAGATGAAAGGGAATCAATGGCATCACAACATGGACATAACAAGAACTTGGGTTGATATAGCGCCTTTCAACTAGGTCAACCAGGTGACCATTGGCACAGGTAGGCTTTAAGGTGGGATTTAAAGACAGATATAGAGGGTGGGAGCGAGATTGGGATTGGGGAAAAGGGAGGGAGTTCTAGATGTTGTTGCCATTAGATCTGAAAACTCCACCACCGATTGCTGCACATAAGGAGATGCACCCAGCCAGGACCTCCAAGACAAATACATGTATTTAGACAGAGTAATCTATAATAATAATAACAATCCTTGCATTTGATATAGTGCCTTATCACGTCTTTGAGGTGTCTCACAAAATATACTGTAAAGTGAATTGACTGTATATTTTGTGGCAGGCAATTGCGCACAGCAGCGTCCCACAAACAGTCATGGATTAAGTGACCAAATTATTGTTATTTATTTATTATTCTTTTAAGGGATTATTATTCAAATTAAGTAAAAGTTCTTGATAGCTTTCTTTCCCCCACCCTCCCCCTCCCCCCCTCACCTCACCCTCCCCTTGATTTCACAAAAGCTTTAGAATTATCATGTGAAAGAGGCAAAAACGTCTTTCATTAGCAGAGCACATGATTATATCTTACCTGAGATCACATGATCATATAAATAGGGGCATAGAGTACAAGAGTCAGGAGGTTATGATTAACCTATAAGACACTGATTAGGTCTCAGTTAGAATACTGCGCAGTCCTGGGCACCACACTAGAGGAAGGATGTTAAGGCATTGGAAAGGGTACAGAGGAGATTTACGAGGATGGTACCAGGAATGAGGGACCTTGATTATGAGGAAAGGCGAGAGAGGCGAGGATTATTCTCATTGGAGCAAAGAAGGTTATGAGGAGAACTAATAGAGGTCTTCAAAATCATGAGAGGATTTGATAGGTTGGAAAGGGAAAAACTGTTTCCAGTGGTGGGTGTGTTAGTGACTCGAGGTCACAGATTTAAAATAGTCTCTAAAAGAAGCAGAGGGGAGGTGAGAAGAAATTTTTTCACGGAGCGAGTTGTTCGAATCTGGAACACATTGCCTGAAAGGTTGAATCGAGGCCGATTCGATAACAACTTTTAAAAATGTGGTGGATGGGTATTTGAGGAGGGCGAGTCTGCAGGGATATGGGAAAAGGGCTGGGGAGTGGGACTGCCATTAATTGCTCTATTCAAAGAGCCGACACAAACTCAATGGGCCGAATGGCCTCTTTTTCTGCTGTACAATTCTATGATTCTATGATTCTATACCTTAGTTGCACTGATTACTGTGTGAATGAACTAGTTTGAACCAGGGTGTCTACCTGCATGAATCCGCACCCTCACTCTTCAATTAGAAAGTAGCAATAATGCCTTCTACCCCCACCCAACACCCAAAAAAAATCTCGCATTGGATACGGCGCCTTTCATGTCGGGAGGACATCTCAAAGCATTGGCTTAACCTTGCAAGCCAGAGCCCAAGCGGGTAGGGTGGTCCTAGCTGGACAAGCCACAACAACAACTTGCATTTATATAGCACCCTTCACGCTGGACAGAGTGGCGGAGCAGGATGCCAAGCCAGGGGTAGGAGGGGGCTGGGAAGGTGACCATAGGCACAGTTGAAGAGGAAGGTCTTCAGGCGTGACCTGAAAACGGGGGAGAGAGGAGGGCAAGGCAAACGGCTTGAGGGAGAGATTTACAAACAAGCCGAGCTTTTTGATATAGCACCTTATCACGTCTTTGAGACGTCTCAAAGCGCTTCACGGAACATACTGTAAAGTGAATTAACTGTATATTCCATGGGTGAAACACGGCAGCCAATTGCAAACAGCAGTGTCCCACAAACAGAGTTCCACAACGTTGGAGCATAGTGGCTGAGAGCAGTGATTGGGGAAACTTGTCAGGCAGTGCTTGTCTCAACAATCAAGGGCAGCAGCAATTGTGGCAATGTGTTTGTCTTTGGCAGGAGCCGATCGGTCCGAGGCCAATGAGCTACGAGGCAGGGTGCGAGTCCTCTGCTGGGTGATGACAGCGCCCGAGAACCTGGAGACCAAGGCCAGGCACGTGAAAGCCTCGTGGGGGAAGCGTTGTACCATCCTCCTCTTCATGAGCTCGGAGACCAACCTGGACTTCCCCGCGATCGGCCTGGAGACCAAGGAGGGCAGGCGGGAGCTGTACCGCAAGACCATCAAGGCCTTCCAGTATGTCCATAAACACTACCTGCACCGGGCAGAGTGGTTCCTGAAGGCCGATGATGACACCTATGTGGTGTTGGACAACCTGCGGCTCCTGCTTTCCAGGTACAACCCTGATAAGCCCGTTTACCTGGGCAGGCGATTTGGAAAGTACCTGACAGGCGGCTACAACAGCGGGGGAGCTGGCTACGTCCTAAGCAGGGAGACGCTCAAAAGATACGTCGCGGCTTTGGAGGATAAGACCTGCAGCCACACTTCGCACGTTGAGGACATGGCATTTGGGATCTGTATGAGAAACCTCGGAATACTGCCCGGAGACACCAGGGACGTGAATTTAAGGGAGACATTTTTGCCTCTTACAGTGTTCAGTCACTTGATCCGGGGTCGTCAAGGCAGGGAGTTCTGGTACTGGGAATTCAGCTACTACAAAGCTACCGACGTGAGTTTTGCTTCTTGATGGTTCTTCCGTATGTCATGGATTCAGTGTTGGTGTGACTGTGTAATAATAATAGTAATTCTTGCATTTGATATAGCATCTTATCACATCTTTGAGACGTCTCAAAGTGCTTCACAGAATATACTGTAAAGTGAATTGATTGTATATTCTGTAGGAAAAACGCGGCAGCAGCAGGCAAAGCAGCGTCCCACAAAGAGTCGTGGATTGAGTAACCAAATTTTTTTTTTATGGATTAATACCCCCGGAAAAACGATCCTCCAATCAACTAACAACCAGGTTCCTACTTATTGCTAGGTAAACAGAGGTGTGTGGAGAAACGAAACTTGCCTAAAGTTTCACCCTGCCTGGAAATGAATTGAATTTTTAAAAAAAATCGATTAAATATGTATGCTTTTATGATGTCCTCCCAAAATTGCTCAGCATTTTGGTGGCTTGTTTGAGTGACACTGGAACACCTGTCACCCTCAAGTAATCCATTTACTGCCTCTCACAGACGGAGGTTGATGAGCTGTTTAGGCAGTGGGCTTCCATGTTTGCTCTGCACTCTGTAATCCGCTGAGTTTAAGGTTGGTTCACAACCCCTGGACCTGATTAGCGTCAGATGACAGGCAGGTGACTTAGTGCCTGGATGGATTGACGATTGCATCAAATGCAATGCCTCACGTTCTATTTATAGAGACAGCCAACCCTGGCCCTGTCATAAAAGCCTACAAAAAATCCACACAGTCACTGCACTTTACAGTAATTCATCCAAAGAGCTGTGAGATGTCTCAATGACATTAAAGGCGCTGTATGAAGATAAATTATATTGTAATGTCAGCCTGGCTCAGTCGGCAGCACTAATAATAATAATAATCCTTGCATTTGCTATAGCACCTTATCATGTCTTCGAGACGTCTCAAAGCGCTTCACAAAATATTCTGTAAAGTGAATTGACTGTATATTCTGTGGGGGAATCGCGGCAGCCAATTGCACACAGCAGTGTCCCAACAAACAGTAGAGGATTAAGTGACCAAATTATTTTTTTTCTTTGGAGTAATTACCCCCGGAAAAGCAATCCGCCAATCGACCAACAACCAGGTTCCTACTTACTGCTAGGTAAACAGAGGTGTGTGGAGTAAGAAAACTTGCCCAGTGTTTCGCCCTGGCAGGTTAATTGAACCAGGTCCTCTCACTTGCGAGGCGAATGCTCTAACCACTGAGTTACAGGACTCCACTCCGTTTCCTCGGCTAACTGATGCTCTCTCTATCCCCAGGGTCCCGAATGCTGCTCTGACCTGGCCATCTCCTTTCACTATGTGGAGCCTGGGTACATGTACGTCATGGAGTTCTTTACCTACCACCTTCGGGCCGTGGGTTACAGACACAGGAAAGCCACAGACTTTCCCCCGCTGGAGGGACTGCCACTGCCTAAGCGGGAAGAGCAGCAAAGAGGACGCTGACAAGATACAAAGCCATTCATCGCTGGATTGATTTATTTTGTTCACTCAACGAGAAGCAGGCTTTCACACTGGCTGTGTGTGTGTGTGTGTTGGGTGGGTGGGGGGATGTGTGTGTGCGTGTAAGAAGGGGGAGCAGAGACCAAAAGCCACACACATATCAGTGACTAAATGGGCAAATATCTGACGTACTGTTGGTATAACATTTGATACAACATCATCGAGGCGTCTCAATGCGCTTCTCAGAATTCACTGCAAAACTCTTGTGGTTGTCGGCAAATACAACAGCCAGTTTTGTATGCAGCAATGTGCCCCACAAGTAGCTGTGAAGTGAACGACCAATTTTACCTGCGGAATTGTTGGCCAGGACACCGGGAGAGAGAAACTCCCTTCTCTTTTCGAGTAGCATCACGAAATCTTTAAATCTTTATAATATATATAATATATAATCGACTTTACTCTTTTACAACCTGTGATGTGGTTCCGCTCCCTTTAATTACCTTCTCTCCAGGCAGCTATCCTCCTCCCAGCTCCTCCTGTTAGCACTTGATGTCAGATTCCCTGCTCTTTTGCATCCGAATATTTACTCAAGTATAGAATCCACACCCCTCTTACTGAAAAGGTACCATCTGCTAGAGAAATGTATTATTGCAATATTTAACTTCGAGACAATGTAATACTAATCCTCGCATTTGATACAGCACCTTATCATGTCTTCGAGACGTCTCAAAGTGCTTCACAGAATATACTGTGAATTGAATTGACTGTATATTTTGTGGGCGAATCGCAGCAGCCAATTGCACACAGCAGTGTCCCGCAAACAGCCGTGGATTGAGTGACAAAATAATTTATTTATTTTGAAGGAATTATTACCCCCAGAAAAGGGATCCGCCAATCGACTAACAACCGGGTTCCTATTTATTACTGGGTAAACAGAGGCGTGTGGAGTAAGGAAACTTGCCCAAAGTTTCACACTGTCCGGGAATTGAACCCAAGTCTCTCGCATGCGAAGTGAGCACTCTAACCACTGAGCTACAGGACTCTGCTTTACAAAAGAAACCATAAGGAGTGCAGCGGTTTAAAGAGAAAAGGCCTCACCAGTACCTTCTCAGGGCAACCAGAGGCCAGGCAATAAACGGCAGCCCTGCCAGCTCAACCACATCCTGAGAAAGATTGAAAACAGCAACTCACAGTGAGTGCCGCACGATTAAATTCCAACACCAACAGCACAGCCACAAGGGGTGGCAACCGCCAGCCAAAAAGTACCACAAAAACAAAACCATGCCTTCAAAATTAACATTATCGAAGCGACACAGCTCCATGCAACAACAGATTACATTTACACCAGCGCCTTTCATGTCGAGAGGACGACCCAGTGCGCTGGGCTGTCAGGGATTTGGACACAAGCTGGGGGTTGGGATCAAACACACTGGGAGTGATTCCAAATCCCATGTTAACACTGCACCCCCAGCTCGGGTGTAAACCCCTCATTGTCCAGCACCTTGGGATGTCCTCCCGACATGAAAGATGCAAGATACAGTGATCCCCCTCATTATTTGGTGATCACTTGCCCCTTAATCCAGTGTCCTTTATTTTATTAGTTCATGCCTGTTAGCACTCTTGTTGGCAAAATGGCAAGTTTGGTGCGAGATGTTTCCAATATCAAGCAGGTCTCCAATCCACCACCAGGTGAGGCAATACACCATTGTGTGGCTGAAACAATCATAGGTTGGGACACAGCGCCCCCAGCTGGCCGAATCTGGAGCAGTATGTGGACCACATTTAACCCACATTACACAGTAATATAATAATAAACACGTTATACCTTGTGGAGGTGGGATGCATGGAATTCTCAGTTTGGGTTGAATATTCTTAAGCGTGGTAATGGATGGGTTTCCGGATGTGTCAGATACCGGCCACCCAACTGACCCCCCACAAAAAAAATCCTAGGTAAAGGTGGGGGGTGTGGGGAAGGGGGGAAATATAATAATAATATACTTGCATTTGATGTAGCACCTATCACAACATCGAGACGTCTCAAAGCACTTCACAGGATATACTGCAAAGTGAATTGACTGTATATTTTGTGGGCGAAATGCAGCAGACATAAACAGTCGTGGATTGATTGACTAAATAATATTTTTTTAAAGGTATTATTACCCCCCAAAAAGCAATATAGAGAAAAATAGCTGAGTCAACATGATGAGACAACTGATTAGACTAGGACAGGTTTTAATCTATAATTGATATGAAGTAATCTATAGAAACATAGATCTCATCACAGTTTTAAAGGTTGGGTATTTTTGGAGACTCATAATTTCATAAATATGCTCCCCTCTCCCTCCCCCCCAGCACCCAGCTTCACAGGACTACCATAATTTAAGTAATTGACTAGGTTAATGATACATAATAATTAATCTTTGCATTTGATAAAGCGTCTTTTACATTGGAAAGACATCCTAAAGCTCTTCGCAGAATTCACTGTAAAGCCGTGTCTTTTGAGGGTGAACAGGGTAGCCAATTGCGCACAACAACGTCCCACGACCAGCCACATTAAGTGAATGACTAATTTTATCCATGGGGATTGTTGGTCAGAACACTTACAGAAATGTCCTTCTCTTTTGGAAGAGTGCCAATGTTAAACTGAGGTCCTCAAGCAGGATTCTTGATGTCCACCTGCTTGAGGACCTCAGTTTAACATTTCATCGAAAGAATGTTTCATCCAAAGGGTGGCACCTCCGGCAATATTCCCCCAGCAGTGTATTGGAGTGTCAGTCTAGACCGTGACTTCAAAATCCAGATGTGAGGCTTGAACCCACAATGTTTACACCCGTTGACATGTCCTATTGTGGTTTTAGTGCAGCAGCAAATCATTTACATTGGTGGATTTTAAGCCAGCGCCAATCTAATTACCTGTACAAACCATTCTGATTTGTGACTAGTTCTGTGAAGTGCCCGAGGACAGCTATAAACCATACAAGATCTGGGTCTTCATTACAGTAGCCACAGCCACATTAGCACTGTACTAATGGGAGGAGAAGAGGTGGGTGGGGAGATGTAATGAAGAGGAGAACAACCAAGAGGAGATTTTGCTTGAGGAATTGTATGCCCAGAATCCACGTCCAGCCAGAGAATCAGGTACTTCCTGGCCAACAATCCCCCAGATAAAATTACTCGCTTATTTCATGACTGTGTGTGTACAAACCGGCTGCTGCTGCGTACAGAAACACGCAGTCGCTATGCGCATCAAGACATCTCGAAGATGCAATGAGACGCTATATCAAATGCGGGAATTATTTAATCGTTGAATCACAGCGCAGGAGGAGACCTTTGGACTCATTAACGGGGGCGAAACTTCAATCTGGGATGAGATTTACAAAAAGCCATTCAGTGAGTGACCAATTGTACTTTGGAGGATTGTTGGCCAGGACACCGGGAGAAACTCCTTTCCCCTTTAGAATAGAGCTGTGTGATCTTTAACATTTACCCGATGGGCAGTGACTCTACGTAGTGTTGAGAGCATCCAGAATTTGGCAAAATTGTTGAACAAACTCAGTCTTAACTTTGAAGCCGTTTATTTCTGTGGTTCACAAACGAAACCTTACAGAAAAAAAACAGCACAAAATGATGGTAGTGTTTAAGAAGGGGCCAAATTCGAGACACTTAGCGTGAAAGACAGGACATTTCCGATTGTGCGGATTTTTGGAAAATTCTTACATTGTGGAATTGAAGGATGATTCCCCATCTCATGAAAAAAAGCACGGCTCGCAAACGGGAATTTAGATTTAAGTGGCTTCGCAGAAACCCCGCACAGCACAATAGTGGCTTTTAAGCCTATGGTCTCAGGGCTAAAACCAAGGGAGAATTTTGTCTCTGTTTGCCATTTAGGTCTCAAGTTGCACCGTTTCTGCGTAACTTGAGATTTGTTGTTCAGGCGTTGTTAAAGCTGAAGGGAATCAATAATATCTTGTTCCATTAATTGTACGGTTCGGATATAATTATAGCTGTGTTTTTTGTGCACAGTAGAAAAAAAATCTTCCATCTGGAGATGGCTGAGTGATAGCAGCACCCTGGGTTCTGTTTTTCCCTTTGTCTTAAGTCAGATGTACCACAGTGACAACAAAAGAGTCAGGCTGTGCTGTTATCCGTGTGATGGGTTGCGCTCAGGTTCATCAACTGAACTCTTGTGGCTTTGGGGAAGTGGGTTTTAAGATGTTTCGGAGTAGCTGATGGTAAAAACCGTCACTGTGCAGCCAACACTGGGCGCAGACAATAGTTCTGTCGCCTATTTTCTTCGCCCTTGAGGTTAATAATGATAATAGTAATAATCCTTACATTCGATATTGCATCTTTCACGTCAGGTGGATGCCTCAACGGGTGTACCGTGGTTTTTTTTTTCGCAGGCAAACGTCTGGTTCCAGTGTTTCTGTGAACCAGACAAAGCCACAATCAATGACCTTCGGATGGGATGTTAAATCAAGGTTCATTTCCACCCGTTGGTCTGTCTGTCTGTTCAGGTGGACTTTAAAGATCCTGTGGCACGATTCCAAAAGAGAAGGGAGCTTTTCTCTATCCTGGTGGCCTCCTGCCCAATGCTCTCCCCCACCACCCCCAGATAAAATCGGTCACTTACTCCCTTCATGGTTGTTTGCGGGATGTTGCTGTATGACAAATTGGCTGCTGCGATCGCCTACAAAACACAGTCACTGAACTTCACAGTACTATACCTTATGAAGCACTTTGCCATGTCCTCCTGACACGAAAAGCACTGCATCAAATGGAAAGCAGGTTATTATTATTAATGATAATGTTATACAGGGGGCATTCTGGGATTATAGTCTACTCTCTTCCTGACCATCCAATTGATGAGTGGAAAAGAAAAACAAAGAGCACCACAACTCCCAAGGTAGCAGACAGACGCGGGTCTGGTTTCTATAAACCTCCAAGCTATTATCTGAGAGATTATATGAAATTATGTCTGAGATTAATGAGGCACTCTCCAGGGATTCAGAGGACATAATGAGCTGTGAAAATAAGACATGAATTGCGTTTGGTATTCATACAGCTATAGTATTTATAAATATGACACGTACGTTGTGCAGTGTTATTATAAATAAGGTTTTTGGTGAAATAAATAATAATAACAATACTATAATAATAATAATCCTTGCATTTGATATAGCGCTTTTCACGTCGGGAGGACATCCCAAAGCACTTCACAAAACACACTGTAAAGTGAATTGACTGTATATTTGTGGGCGAACGCGGCAGCCAATTGCGCACAGCAATGTCCCACAAACAGTCGTAGATTGAAAATGACCAATTTTTTTTATTATTGTTTTTGGTTTTGGAGGGATTATTATTAGGCTCTG